TAAACACCGCGAAGTAGAAACAAGCCAAGGTGTTTGCACATGCGTATATTTGCATCGCAATGACGTGTTTCTGTACACCAATCAGCTGCTTTATTGGGAGCTTGAGTGTCGCATTAAAGAGTGAGAGGAACAGGTGGTTTACGACGGTGTTTGCACCTTCCAAGACATACTCTCCATGGCTCTAGAAACAGCTTCCGAAACTTATCACGCACTCTTCGCAAAGCACGGCTAAGCATTCGTCGGAAGCGACGCCACCCTGCCGGCACAAGAACTTCATCCTGACTGTCGGATGTGTCAGCTTCGTCAACTGGGCCTATGTATTCTGTCTCCATGTCATCGAGTGCCTCCTCCCCATCCACCAAGTCCGCTGTGTCGAACAAATCCTCCTCCAACTGCTTTGCAGTCTGGCTGTCCGGCGCCATGAGGGAAGCGACTTGATATGAGGTGAGGGCTAGGAGGAGGATGAGGAAGCAGGCCAGAGTGGATTGCGATCGCATGTTGTTCTAGTGCGCAGGTGATTTAAACAAGTGTGTTGTGTTTGACCATGTTCTGCATCGCGTACTTATATACTCGGTGACGCGTTGGTGTAAACGCAGCAGTAGCTGTTTAATGGAGTGGGCGAACGTAAATCTTGTGCGGTGAGAGCGTTGGTCAAGAGGGATGGTGATGACGATATGAGTGTGGCCCCGAGGACTAGGATCCGAGTACTTTATCTTCTCTCACTCGTTAGTCGGAGCAGGAGGAGGAGGAGGAGGGGCAGAGGGAGTGTTGTGGAGAAGTGAATGCCTCAAATAATGCACCACCATTGTGAGGGCCGACGCAATCAACGTTTGGTATCACCCTGATTCGCATATTAACTTCTGGGAACGAAGTTGCGTGTACACGGAGAGGAAGCACCTAGTTTGTCTTCCACTGATGAAAATAAGGTCAATGAGACGGGTGTGACGATGGCATTTCGCATCGTACGAGGAATCGTGTGCACAGGTACTCCGAATGCGCGACATTGTTTATTCGCAAATGTACTTCCTGCACCGCATCACTCTTTTGTCAGTACAGTTGGTGTGGACGAACAAATTCCGTTTCGTCTGCTGCATTGCAGTGGGGCGCCCGTGTAGATGGTGGGGCCACTGTCCACCAAACAACAGCGTTGCTGTGGAGGTGCAAGAAAAGTGTGGGGCAATGTATTAACTGACACAATGAACTGAAACAACACCAAAAAGCGATCGATTCGCACTGCCATGAAGTGTCAGACAAAGGAACTAAGACGATCATGCCATGTTTATGTTACAAATAGAAAGGCAAATGCCCATGGGAGACCACCTTCACTATGGTGACTGCGTCACTTCTCAAGGTGGTTGTCGATATCATGACAGTCAACCCATCGGCGAGGTAATTCAACAGACATGATTTGAGCAGGGCATCCCTCCGTCGATCCTCCACGATGTATCGTTAAGTATGGGCAATGAAAGTGGATGAAGTGGTTACGAATGTGCCCAGCATGCGAGACCGCTGTACCTGTTGGAGTAAAGGCGACAATTGATGTGACATATGTGTATAAAGCCTAACACGGGCCACCGGCACCGGTTGTTCATCACCTAATGACATCATTATAGTGACCTCGCCAATCCATTCCCATCGACAGTGCACCCAATATCTTCACCAACATCTCGCGAAATTGGGAGTGGCCTGACCACCGGGAGGCAGAGACGAGAGTGAGGAGATTCGAAGCAATGCACGACTCCTCAGTGGTCACAACTTCAGTAAGTGCCTACATGGTAGTGGGAAAGGAGAAACAATAATGCTGTTGTCACCGACTCCTCGCATAGACACATCAGACCCACCCAGTCCAACGATTGCCGCATTTCCTAAGATGCCCACCAACAACGATAGCATGGATAAAGTGTGCATACACACGTCATAGCGATTGCATAGCAACGTCCCACACACATGTTGGCAGATGAGACGCCCTGATGTTAGCCTGCAAACCAACTTGAGGACCACAGATTTCGAGCCCGTGGTGATGAATCTCGCGACACCGCACTCTGCACTCCCTTTATTGTGGACACCCAAAAATGCGAGCCTCACGAACATATGAGCACACATTTGAGCCACACAACCCGAGTTGGATGCCTGCTTTGCCTCAGCCTTGGCACGCGCGTTCACGTTGGCTTTGGATGTGTGGATTGCCTCAAAAGTCAAATTTTAGTGGTGGAAATTGTCTTCGTCGACAGCTTTTATCACCACAACTGCGCAGACAAAGTCTCCTCTGCTTTCGCCAAGCAGT